GGAGGTACAATAATAAGTAGGCAATAAATCGATTCTTATACAATACAAAAATTACTTTGAATTAACTCAAGAACAAATTTAGGAAAGCAGTTAAAAAGCATATTTTGTGCAAAGAGAATGCTTAATCGCGAGAAACTCGAATTTTGTTTGCCTTTTAACATAACCACCCGGGCAATTGCGGTTATGAGATGTGAACGAATCAACATTGCACTACTGATCTCGCTGACAACAGCATGAATCACTTCGCCACCAATAAAGTTAAAAAAGAAATAGAATTTCTTTTTAATAGAATTCAACTCTCCTCGATACAAAAACTGTCCTTCAAGTCGGATTTTAGTATTCAACACAGAGTTAATCCTCGGGGTTAAGAGGGAAGAGGAATTAGTTTAGACTAGAGAATTGAATGATTGGGTGACTGTACCAGTGATGAATCACAAGACATCAGACGAAAACAACATGGTCTTTCTGCATCCGAATTTCGGACAAGCAAAATTCCTACTTCACGAACAGACTGCCATATAAATGCCAGAAAAGTACAATGGAAGACGTCTGGGTTTTTATGCGCACGATAACTTAAAGCTATATGCGGCTTCAACATCTTATTTAATGAACCAATCAATTGCGGATGGAATCTTCGATTTAGGATTTAATCCAATTTTATGGAGATTGCCCCGAGTGAGCTCGGTTGTTGCTGTTGTCAGTCTCATAGTTGCCGTTGATCGTAACAAGACATAAATGCAAGAAAGACCAACAAAGCTCAATCAGCCGGTCAAACACGTAATATTTCTTGCTCAAGAATGTTTCTGCTTTGGTAATTCTACAGAAAAGAGGAAAGTCAAACACAACTCAAAGTTTGTTGAGATTCCCAGAGTTGACGGAGTACGTTTATGAGAACCTCGTGAAAACCAAGATAACTGTCAAAACTAACTTGACAGAAAAGCGAATGGTTTTGCTCCCACAAGGCATCTAATCTACTGCAGTGACATATTGCCAATAACTATATTGTGTTGTGAATTAAAAAGCAAAACGAATGAAGTAATGAAGCATTATGAAATCACTAAATAGTCATAATGCCGAGTCGAAAAGAAAATTAAATGCTACCTTTCCTAATGATAACTGCGTTTAGGATGGTATTTAGTAATTGGCAGACTGTAATGCTTTCCAACCATTTATGAAAATTAAAAATGATTTGGATAGGCACTTGATAGTAGCTGTGCTAATTCAGACGCTTGCGAAGTCCAATATTCGATACTTTGAAAGAAAAGAGGAGGTAAAAAGATGGAAGTTCAAGTCGATACAAATAAAAGAATTTCTCACTCAGACACCCTTTTATTTATCAGTGCCAATCAGCATAACTAATATCAAGTCCATTAACAACAAAGGAGTGTAGTGGAACCACGGAGTGCTGATGGTACAGTGGTCTATGTTCATGCCCACCGAGAATAGAGAACACGAAGTCCACGCTCAGTTGTACATATTCCGTGGTGTAAATAACCAATAACACTCATTAGAGGATCGAGAACATACAAATCAAGAGATGCAAACACATTGGACTTGTGATGAAAACGCGAATATAATTGGAAGGTGTGAAGGAAGCGCAGTGGGCATTTACGCAGATGCGAAATTTGAGAGCCCGAGAATAACACTTTTATTGTTGCACACTACTGAAAAGAATAAGTTGAATGTTCTATTTAATACTGATCAGAGGAAAAGGATGCGTCGGTTGAGCAGTGGCCAACGTGCATATCTATGAGGTCAAAGTTCACAGAGTTAATGAACAACAGGGGCACAGCTGTTTGGTGATCGATAAGATAGATTCAGGTTAACAAGATAAGTGGTAGAAAATGACTTCGTCGCAAAAGAGGCTACAGGTTATCTGCCTTCTATTCTAGTTGAGTACTGTGAAGAGTGCAAATGAGTTTGGAAAGTAACTCAGTTGATATTCAAGAATGCTAGTCTCCGGAACAAAATGAACGTTGAATGATTCTGGGAAATAGTATTAGCAAAGTATACGCAAACCGGCAAAAAGTACCGGTCGATCCACACATTGTCTTAAAGACCTACTAAGCATTCCTAAAGTTCACATGATGAAATACAACACCGAAAAGCACGTTTTTCGTGCAGAAGTAACAACTACACAAATCAAGCTTTGAAGGGAGATGGCAAAATAACATGATTAATGAAAGGTCTAAACAAAATCGAACACTGAAGGGTGGGTAAACAATCACGTGTATCAGTGGCTTAGTCACACGCAATGAAAAAAAATAAGCAGATTAAGTGAAAAAATTGGTTCAGAAGAATTTACGAACGCCCGAACGCCTAGTCATGGATACGCAAAACAGCCATGAATACCTATCAAAGATAATGAATTCCATAATCCAAAATGAACAATTGCTCGCCGAATTCAATAGCACAATTCATCAAATTTGAAGATAGAAGTTTCACGGTCTACAACACCGATACCCCAACTAGAAGGGAAAAGACCTCGTTGGTATTGCGAAAAAATAAAGCCATTCAACTGGAACCATGAACGTTGAACAGCAACCTATATTATTTCACATAAACAATGTAGGAGCTATTCCTCAAGTCAATAATAATGGGAAGAAAAAAGCGAATATGACTATGACTTTGTAAAGGGAACACATATCAACTAATTTGTCAAAATTACACATTCGCTTTGGCGCCTCGACCGTACAGAAACTGCTCGGATTCGCTTGAAGTATGTTTCTGCCTCTGAGTTCTCTCAGGGACGTACTAGGGTGACTGAGTCATGAGAACAGGTTTCACTGCCTCACACGTGTTTTGCAAGAACTACCCCCCCCCCTCCTCTCCCCTCCCCTCCACTCCACTTTCCTTCCTCTCGGATCTGGACTTTCGGTTTAAATGTCTGAAAAGGAAGATCGCATTCACTATTGATTTCGAAGGAAAACTTCTATTCTCTCACAAATTTCCAAAGCAAAACTCACAGGGAATGAGAGGTTCAAAGTTCAAATAAAATTTAGCATCAAAATTGAAATAAGAGCCCAGAGCCATTAATAAGAAAAAGTAAATTATCAAGTTCTGTTTAACCAATTAATCAATCGGCCAAAAAGAACTAAAGGGATGGACGAAAGTTGAACAGGTAATTATAAAACTAGATTTAAGATATTTCACTGATTTCCTGCGAAAATGTAATAATACAATAAAAAACAAAAATAATAACGATTGGATATTGATCAAACCATCCTAAGAGAGACAAAATTAATATGATGTGACATACTTTTCTTCGCCTCAGAGATTTGTTACAGTCTTAAAAAGCGTATGTATAATGAGAACTTACGAAAAGGATAGAGCATTCAGTGATAATATGAAAAAAGAGACTCTTATAAAGGATTAAGGAGTAGAGAAATAAGCGATAAAAGCAAAAATTGACGAATACTGTAACCAACTCTGACAGGCCATCGCAATAAGATTATAGCCGCTACTAATCTAGTTGGAATCAAGGATTCCAAGTCTTGTCATTCCGAAAATTACACGATTAAAAGGTTTAAGAAATAACCAGAATCAACACTGCAGGAGACTGACTAGAAAAGGTCTGAGCATTTAAAGGACATTGGGCATAAAATTTATGAAAGGAGAAAATCACCTGTTGAACGGATCAAAACAGAACCTCCGGGTAGTACCAGGACAAACAACCCGAAGACCAGACATCAAAGCAGAGTGCAAAACAACACCAGCTACCTATAAACAGACAAATGAGTATGACAAAAATTTTGCCCAATATATAAAACAGAAGACATACCAAGTGGCGTGTGGCAAGGTCCACTGTGGGAGCAGTTCCAATACTTTGGCCATAGAGGACAATGCGACTTAGAGGACAATGAAATCGTTCGACCAATTCCGCCAGAGCCGCCTCTGCATCAGCGTAAAGATTGGCTTCAAGAGTTTGACCAGTACTAGCCCCATATCCAGAATAATCATAGACGAGAACATTAACTTCAAACCGTTGAGATAACGAAAAGAGAAATCCTGCCATCTACACAGTAAATAAGAAATGGACGGAAGACATACCTGCCCAATATCCACGGCATTTCCATGACTAAAGAGTATAGTAATACGATCGGATGAATCGTCATGATTCGAAGATGACAAGGCGTGACGAGAACTTGTAGGAGAATATCGAATATAGAGGCAAGCAATTCGAGATTTTCGTTTAGTAATAGTATAAAACGCCTAAAATAAAAAATAAATTCAAACATCAAAGAGATTTGACCAGCTTTAAACTGAAAAAAAGAATATAGTACTTTCATAGTAGATTTGGCATATTCACGGATCGGACCAACTTCGGGTTTAAAGTTAATTTGACATTCACTTCCATCAGAAGACTGAACGATTGAATACGTTGGAATGGGTGGCAGAAATGCAAACTTGGCCACAATATGAGAAGGTCGTGGGGGGCAACAGAAAATATGACAAATTTCTCCGAAAAGACTACCCATCACCGGAAAGATCGTATATTATTTAGTAACAATGTAACTTGACTCAAACTATGGCTGCATATAATACAAATATGGGCTTAAATATGATTGGGTCAAGTTAAATCGAGGTTGACCTATCAGAGAACAAAACAATTAGTTAATTAATCAAATTTTAACATATAAATTTACATTAAAAATGTTATATAATGTTGAATTAAATATTTTAATTGATTTTAATGAAATTAGTGGCACATAATTTGCAACATGAGAAGAATATAAGAAAGTAGATCAAAAATCAAGCAAGAGTAAAAGTAATATAAATTTTCTGAAACTCTTGATGCGCAACTTTGTAGGATTTATCGTTTTGAAAATCAATAAAAAATACTTGACAATAGTTTTCCTTCTTCGATCTCCAAATAAAAATCATATTTAATTTTAATAAATTGATATTTTTCATTCAAAATGGCATGAATCGTCATGCGAAAATTATGTTAATTGCTTTTCATTCAACATTCATCGTTTAACTAAGTCACAACCAATTGCAGCTTTTTCAGTTCTTCCAATTACTAGCTTAACGTGACTTGTATTTCTAATAATGGATGATTGGGGTTTGTTTTCGCTTTTTATAATAAAAAATCTCAGAGGATATTAGCAACCCTGTTAAAGTTGCCGATACATGGGAGGATGAGTCTTATGAAGTTCCAGTATGTTTAAATACCCTATTATTTTTGTTAGGATGCATGGGATGCTGACGAAAAGCCAAAAGAAGAACCAAAGCCTAAACCTCAGACTTCCAAAAAGTTAACTGCAAAAGAGAGAATTGCCCAAAAGCAGGCAAAGAAGCAACAGGTTGTCGATGAAATGCTTGTAAAGCAGAAGGAATTAGAAACGCGACAACTTACAGAACGTGAAAGGGAAGAACTGGCTAAGGAGCAGGAAGCCAATCTTATTCAGGATTCTTTTGGCGTTGTTGATGTTCCTATCTCGCAGAACAATGATTTTGATTTTAGCAATGTATCCACTAAGCAGGACTTCAACGATTTGTCGGATAAGCTCGTGGCAAAGTTTAAGAATCTTGAGGTTTCCCCTCATTACTCCAGTTTCGCTGAAACGTTCATTCGTCAAATCTCCCTTCAAAGTAAGCGGTCTCTTTTACAATACTATTTCTTTCTAGTGGAGCTTGATAATCTCAAAGAACTTTCCACGTCTATCAGCGCGCTCATAAATGAAAAGCAAAAACTAAGTAACAAGGTCTGTTTTGTTGTAGTCCTAGTTACTTTTTCGTTTCTCGTTTGCACTCTTTTTCTTATTACATTTTTTAGAATAAAGCGAGGAGGAAAGGGCCGAGACCTAAATTGGTCGTGGAAAGAGGCGTTAATGATTTCGACCAATACAACGAAGACGTTGCTGATGAATTCGACGATTATTTCTGAATGCAATGTCTTGATTAATGTATATTGAAAAGACCTCCCCTAATGGTCCATGGACCCCTTCTTCAAGAACGAAATAACATTTACAAATATATACATTTATTTATCAAATAATCTAAATGCGTTGTGATTTTATTTCATGTTTTCTTTCGTTCATATCGGCCTCGGGGTACAGCTAAAAGAAGGCAAAGATGATTTGTAATCGAGAAAATCTCAGTCTTACTTGCAATTGAGCATATTTCGACATCAGCTCCAAATGACAGAAGTTGATCGATCCAAACAATCTGTTGCGATGATAGTTTATCGCCCGGGCCTTTGACTTCTATTAACTAAAGTTTAATCGATTACTACATAAAATGTCGCAAAGCACTTGCGTGAGTGAATAAGGGGTGTGGGATGGACTTACCTCCACGTGGTGCACCCTGGGCAACGTATACTCATGCGGCAAAAAAGTCTATTAACCGGCAGTTGACTTCTCACTTCAAACTACCATCATCCCGCTGTTTGCCATATTCGACCACTTTCACAGCACTCATCTTACCCTTTCGGAGCTTTTGTGTCTTTCTGTTTCTTTTACATCTGTGAATCACTCTTCTATTCTCCCTCTAGATTTCTTCTCACTTTGATGTTCCTCCCCCCCCCCCCCCCCCTCAATTAAAGGGCTAATTATAACTATCAAAACGTCTGCCATTTGTTATAAATACTTGAGTGAATAATGATCAGAGAATCCCAGTCTTGATGAGCCAAAATTGTACATACTTTATGAGTATTCAGTAGAAATAATTCACTTACAACTAAAATTCGAAATTGGGTTGAGTCGTAAATATCGCCGACTGATGTCTAAGGATTCGCCAACTCTCAGGCTAACGTCGGCATTTTAAGATGATATAAAGTGGCTACGGCTTCGTATATGTCAATTCACAGCGCTATCCTGCGTAACAGGGAAGTTCTATGACAACAAGATGGCTTCCTCTCAATCTAGTAATATTGTTATGCTTCGTCAATTTTTTGTTTTAAACTTGTTGAATTAACATGCCCTATTCCTTAATAATCCACGTTAGAACCACGATTCACAATCCAAACATAAAAGTACTTCCTTAAGCCTTAAAATGCCTATCTTTGAGATACTTGAATCGAAAGAAGTGTAACATGACTACGTTATCAACATTTTCTTCATTTCTCGAAGAATTAGGACTTCTCGAATTATTAATAAAAAAACAGTGAGAGAGTAAGATCTGCGTTTGAATCTGAGGTATACAACCATAACATTATGAGATCTGCGCACTTAAAATTAATAGTAACGCTTTTGTCAAAATTCATATTAGACCTCGTCCTCACTTCTCTATTGGCTACTTTAACCAGCGCGGTTATTCGTTCCACGTATTTCAAAGCACGCATGTTTACCAGTAAGTATACAAGTGTAAACTTGGACAAACCTTTGATTTTACTTTCGAAGGGCTCCAAACACAGAGATCAGGTAGACCCGAGCACCAATTTGAGTAATTGCTTATTAATAAGCGGCAGAATGAGGCTACAACTTTGGGTCCAAGACACCAAAAGAGATCCTGCAAATGAAAGCCAAAAAATGTAACTAATACTGTTGGAAGTTGATAAAGAAATAGTATATCAGTTGCAAGCTCACTACAACATCAGCCCCAGTCTCGTTAAAGAGCTCCCAGTTTATTCCAACACAATGCTCACCATTGTGTCTCTTCCATGTTTCCAGTAGTAGTTGAGAGACGGGGTCTACCTTAATCCATAGACAAAAAGAGGAATATTAATTGATAAATCCTCCAATCTCTTCAAGGAGAAAAGAAAACGAAAAAATAATCAACCACTGGGGTAAGGATTTTAGTTAGTACAGGTTGTAATGAACAATCATGAGCGATAATAAGCAGGAGAAAGGTTTGCTTCTGCGTATTGACTTAAGAGAGCATTAAAATTTAGACTGAATAATAAAACCGAACGGAAATGGTGTGTCGTTGGCGTAGAGACAAAGTTGCTTAGATGCGATTAAAACGCATAAAATTTTATCATTAATGAAAGACATCACCCATTTTTTAAAGGTTGCGATCATCGTAATATAGGCCAAGTAAAGGAAATATTTTAAATTGTGCAATTTCTACACACAGTTTTCAATAAAATATTGAAATAAATAGAAAAATTAATATTGAAAGAGAAATCAGCCACCTTTCTAATGAATCCACACTAACCCCTATAAGTACACATCCCTAACACAGCGATGCTGATCGCGTTAGGATGTGAATGAGATCACGAGCACAGAAACCTCTCAACCAACCAACCAACCACCCTTCTGTTGAATTCTTCACAATCAAAAAGTTTGCTTGAACTCAATTTGTGGAACTCATTTATCTTTATTAGTTAGCTATGTTCGTTGACCGCCAAGCTACATAAATACTGTTAATCATGTAGGTAGATTAAATCTTCAGATTATAAAAATGGAAGGAACGTCTTTCCCCTATGGAAGAACCTATGAAGCTATCCGAAGGTACTTACTTTTGATTCCGATGAATTTCTTTCAGCTGAATTGATCATCTCCAACCGACATTCGATAGTATCCTTATGATTAGAGTAAAATTCGCCCGTAAAAAGATCCAAAGGTCCAGATTGGCGCATAGAATAAAATGCATCAGGACGACTAATACCATAGATAAGGTCATAGAACAATAGACCGCACAGTGTTGTATAGATGCTGGATTCACAATGCACTCCTAAAGCCCATTTTAATTGAACAGAGGTTCAACCTCCACTCACCTCTTTCAAACCCCACGTTAGTTATATAATACCTTAAAGCCCATTCCTCAACGTGAAGGATTGAGGTTGTTGGTTCAGTGTTTTCAGACGAACAGGAATCGATTTCTTCCCAAAGGTAGAGCGGTCGGGAAACACCGATCTCCACTGATGACACATTGATCGGAGCAGATACTTTTACAACAGGAGCTGATTTCAATGTAGTCAGAAGATCTTCCATCAACTTCTCGATTTTATTAATCAAATTGGCATTAGAAATATCAACGATTTTGCGTCTTTTAGACAGCGGTTGATGAGATTCATTCGTGGACTCCCGATGTAAATGAAGTCGATCATTGCCTGATTTTATTCCTGTTAAAATGCCCAATTGTCTTTGAATATCTAGACGATGTCCGCAATGCAATTCCTTGAGTACTGGAAATAAGTCGGCGATTTGCTTCAAACATCCAATTTTATCTCTACAATGACTTCCTTGATCGAGAAGTAGACGTTTGATCAAAAAGCAGATTGATTTTGAGCTAATAGAGTGGATTAGATTTGAGGAAAGAACAAGTTGAATAAGCTCTACGGCTTCTGAAAATTTACGTAGACGCTCACAAACATTGATCGCGAGGCGAACTATACGAGATGCTATGTTAGGAAGAGTATACGATCGTAAAAACTTCGGTAAATCATCTCGATCAAGCTCAGTCCTATAGTGAGTTACAGAAAGCAATTAACAATTTTATCACTACCAACATTTGTATCACGGTTTTTATAGATTCTATATGCTTCATAAACAAGTCATAGGCATCAGGATACTTGGACAGGAGTATTAAATTATCCAAACTATGGCGTAATTCAGAAAATTCGAAGACTCTGATTCACAATATGATTGATATAAGTCAAAGAAATTACCGAAATAGTTCGTCCCTGGTTCTGAAAATCTCCGATTTTCGCAAAATCTCATAATCTGGATAGGTAATATCATTATTACGAACTTGGGAAAAACTGAACCTGCAAAGAGCTATAAGTGTAAGCATACAACTTACAGCTCTTTGGACAGAAATGTCTCAAAAGATATCGGATGGTTGTAAGTTCCTAATTTTTCAGAAGTCAAGGAAAAACAATAGAGAATTCGAAGAATAACCAAAGACGGTGATTTCTCAACAAAAAAGCACGGACCAAGAGAGCTTTCGATCCTAGAACAAGAAATATTAGAAAAAAACCAAAAGAGGAAGATACAATTTTCGCAGCTGACTTTTAGATGTAATCTTGGATGAAGCGAAAAAACTTAGCAAAGAAGGGGATTTAGCCGATTTAAGGAGCGATTCAATAACAGATTTCTTCGGGGCACCTTTATTACGCAACTTGAACGAGGAGGCTATTTTAATCAGTTCCGGTTTGTCGAGAAGATTTAATAATTCCTCATCTGTAAATGAACTCAGATCTAGACCGAATAAAGTAATAATACTTATTACCTGATGAAAAAAAACCCTGATTTATCAACTGCTTATAAATGCCATCCAAATCCGTTGAATCAAATTGATCAAGAGGACGAATAGTCTTCGACCGATAAAGTTTTCGCGATCTTCGAAATAAAGCGAGATAAATTAATTTCGACTTTTCTATAAAAATTGTTACATATTTTTCGAGTTCTAACCAGATAAGCTATCAAACTTCTCAATATAACTGCGGTCGACACGATCAAATAGTTTATCATAAAACGAATCCTGAAAAATGTTCTTAATAATGAAATGAAATGCATCAAGATAGTACGGCTGACGAATTTCATCTGGGAGATTCGAATTTTCATCCATTAAAGACGTTCCATCAGCAACAGACGTAGAGTGAAGTATTGAACTGCTATTCTCAGTTGTTCCATCAGCTGAGTTATCTTCCATTTTTACTAAGAAATTTCAAATTAATAGGAGAAGGTAAATTAGCGAATATTTTAAAACGAAAACCTCCCACAATAAATTAATTTATGACAGAAGTGAAAAACGGAACCGAATTTAGCATAATTTATCCTATTTAAAAATATGACGCATTCTAGTTCAGATGAGCCCAAAATGTACCTAAAAACAAAGCACGATAACTATAACGGAACGAGGCTTTGAAGTTGTGCGTCATATTATCAAGGTCGGTTAAATTGATGGTATCAATGTGCTTGTCTATTTTTGATCCATTAAAGATCCATATTTTTAGTTTAAATGCGGTTTTTGTTTAATGAAACCTTAATCAAGTTTAATAAAAACAAGTGAGTATTAGGATTGTCTAGGTAACAAAAAATGTAAAAATATCTGCTACATCGGATAAATTACCATAACTATCTACATTAAGTAAATTTGATGAATTAATGTAAATGTAATATTGTGACCATTGCAGAAAACGTCATCGCATACACTCACACCAGGATTTGGAGTGTGTGGCCGTATGTGTAGAACACTGCTCGTTGACATCTAGCTATTTTTGTTCACTCTGACTATGCTAAATTTGTTTGATAACTAATCAAATTTGCCGATTGGTTTATTTGCAATAAATGTGTTCAGTGTAATACGTCTTTTCCCTCCCTAGCTTCGCTGTAGCTTAGCTAATACAGATATAGGAGATACTGCTATGGAGAGATTTCTGAGTCAATCGAGGTATTATTAGTGTAGTTGTCCGCTACATTTTCCTTAGAATTCTGTTACTTTAAATTATGCACATTAAAAGTAATATGTCCAATAATTTCAATTCGTTTGGAATCGTAGTTTTGTCACCTAGAGTAAAAAGAAAAAGGGACGAATATATCTATGAAACTTTCAGCAATGTGCCATTGTATAATTAGTATCAACTGACTTGATTGATATAGAAGGTAAAAATGTAGTTCATTAACATAATTCTAGAGATTTAACTTCAGGAACATATGCACATATATATTTTCTTCCATCAATACTAAATCGGTAGTGATGGGTTTTGAATATCCATATAGCAAAGATATTTGAATGAAAGAAAACTTATCAAAATACGATTTTAGCTAAAGAAACGTATAGTTTAAACTTTAGTGAGTTTCACTTGTATTTTAGCCTTACTGATTATTTTTTCAATCATTTAAATGGGACCCAAATTTCTGCTTTGTATTCAATTAAAATAAAATTCTCAAGAATATATATAAAAAGTCAGAAAATTGGTTTAAATATCTTTTCTTCAGTCATTTTTGAAAATATTTCGAATTCTAGTAAAAGCCATTGTTTATTGTTTAAACATGCCTTTTTGTTGTCGCCATTTAAGAGTATGTCGCGCTCTCGTTCGTCTACCAAAGTCTATGTTGGGGATCTGCCACGAGATGCTTCTGAAAAGGAGTTAGCTCGTGTTTTTGATCGTTATGGTACTGTGAGGAACGTATGGGTTGCTCGAAATCCTCCGGGATTTGCTTTCATTGAATTTGATGACCCTGCTGATGCTGAGGATGCTGTTCGCGATCTTGACGGAACGTATGCTTATATTTAACTTCTTTTATGTTGTATTTTTAGGGTCATATGTGGTGTTCGTGCTCGAGTTGAGTTAAGTAACGGAAGGACTCGCCCAAAACCATGGATTCGTGGAGATCGTGGTCGCGATTCTGATCGCCGTGGTGATAGGCGCGCTCGGCCTTTTGACCCCAATGACAGATGCTTCGAATGTGGTGAACGCGGGCACTACGCCTACGATTGTCGTCGTCGTAGATCTTCGAGACGTTCCAGGTAGAGTTTCCCATCATGCTCTCGACATCATGACTACATGCTGGTATATACTGATGGTGTGAGACAACAGCGTAGACAGTACTACTACTACTACCCACTCAGCCCATCATAACTGATTGAGAATGACTGATACGATCAGCTCTAGGTCACCATAGTAACGAAACTTCGAGAAAGACCCTTCAACGAATGCCATCAGCGTTCGTCTTGGTATGAGAGAGATAGTGAGTACATCATGGTTCTACAGCAATGTATTCGTAAGTGTTGCCTGTGAGCACAAAAGGTCCTTTTGTTCATCCATTTGTCATTTTACATAAATTACCACTATCCTTTATATATTTTTTAGATCCCGTGGGTCTCGCTAATCTTGTCGTTAGTTGATCAGTTATGAAAGCGGAATAATCCGGTTTGGGAATTTTTATTAATACAATAAATGAATTTTATCTACAAGTGTGTCTTTTTACATTGTTCGACTTCGACTGTTTGGGATTTATTTTTCGGTGGTGGTGTAAACTAAGATGTATGGACGAAGGCTTGCAAGGGAAACAATTTCCTCGAAATTCGTAATCCGTACGTCTTTATCATCGAATATAGTCCATACATTGAACATTTTGCATGCCCATATATAGTGTCCGAGGGTTGCTAGATACCCCTGATGAAACACAATGCCGAAAAGTTTGTAGTGCCTCTCTGCCCCATCTAAATGAAAAGAATCAGCACAACGGTAGACATATAATTACCTATAAGTTTCATTGTGATTGTTTTGTTTATGTCGAATTTGCTCATGTTCTTCACCGTGCTGCCAGTCACCATATCAAAATAGAAGATCTTCACATTTAGTAGAAGACACGGAGGCGCCTTCCGAAATGTGACATCCACATTTCTTGAATAGACGCCGTTATCATCGCCTCCACACTTCTCGCATTTCGGCGTGTCTTCAATCAATTCTCTACTGAGCGAATCAACCATGCTCTGGATACTTGGTTTGTTCTCGTTATCATTCTGCTGTAGGTTAGTAACATAAGAGTAGTACTATTCACAAGTTGAAAGAAAGGATACAGTACCACCATTTAGAGGTGTAGTGCTTACCTCGAGAGAGAGCATTAGAGTTGTGAAGGTTTCTTCTCGTTTGTCAATTTCCCAACGGCAAGTGGCACAATTGGAGACACGACTTTGGCACCCAATGAAAGTATCTGCGATGTACGAAGGAGATGCAGGAGAAGTCTTGGAAGTGGACTCCACTTGCAATTGATCAAGTAGATGGTTGAGGTATTCTTGCGCATCCTCATGGGCA